ACATTGGTTTTGAGCATCCTGCTGAGGGGTGGGCTGCTCGTGACTGCAAGAGTCGTGCTTCAATTCTGCAATTGACAAGTTTGCTTCCTACAGAGGCACCGGCAAGGGGTGACCATGGACATGATTCACACTCTTTTACATCAGGTGCCTACAGCAAGAATGGTCAGGTGGGTCTGCGGCGTTTCGCCTCGAGCTTCCCCCGGACTACAATTGTGTGGTGGAGCTGGGCCTCTTTCTGGGGCCATGTTAACTAATTAAAATATGCAGAAACAATGCACTTGGGATAATGCACCTGGAAAACCAAATGCAAAAAATAAATGCAGCTTGTTTTTGACATGCGATTTCGAAATGCAAAAAACATGCAATGAGCCTTGAAACAATGCAACTTATTTGCAGCTTGTTCTTCAAATGTGCATATAAAATAATAGGAATTGTAATAGCTGGCTAGGGCCACACTTTTCTAATAAAATTGATTTGGACTCTAGGCTTTTTCGATTGCCCAGGCATACAGGTTTTGCATTCCTGTTAGTCACTAAACAACCCTAAACCCTAAACCCTAAACCCTAAACCCTAAACCCTAAACCCTAAACCCTAAACCCTAAACCTCATTTCTTGGAGCAAGCAGTGTCCTACTGTTTACACGTGTCCAGAATGTCAGAAATCCGGTTGGGATGAGATTTGTTTGAGCTGGGCAGGCGAAAGCAGGCAGAGCAACACGCTGTTCCTAAGTCCCTAAGTCCTACCATGTTCGTGTTGCGTGGCCTGAAATCACATCTATCAGTATCACACAAGACACCTCAGGGCTTTGGGTGCTTTGGAGTTTTCGGATCAGGCTGTCTGCACGCGCTTTCCAGATCGCAGTCAGCCCGCAGGGGTTATTTGAACGCAGCTCGTCCTGCCGCTTAGCATTGGCTTCGAGAGTCGGCATGCTTTTTGCTCTGTCTTGTGCAAGAACCATTTTGTTTTTTTTCGCATGCTAACCCCGTACCATGAAATCATCAGACATCAGAACTGGCCAACTTCCAATTCAATGACAGTTTGCTTGACAGTGTGCAACCGGACACATTTTGGCTGCAGTGCCAACATGCTAGCTAGTTAGCTGCTGCTGCGTTAGCTGCTGCTGCTAGCTGGTACTTGGTCGTGCGCGGCAAGTGACTGCAGTCACTGCCTGTTTTTTTCGTAAAGTAGGCGACTGCCAGACACCATTGTAGATTGTAGCTTGTAGACAGTTTAGGTTTAGGTCCAGGTTTAGGCCTAAAAGTCTATATCTATATTATAATATAACCTGAATCTAGCTGGGAATCCAGGCCGAGGCCCGAAGCACATTGTTTGGAATTGTTTCTTCTGGACAAGCCTTAAGCTACATGATGTCATTTCTGAATAGTGAAGACAGATACAGACAACTCACAAGGGATCTGCTGCCATAGCTGCGCCAGCGATGGCAGAGCTGCACAGCTCGGATGAGGAGGATTGGGCTGCATTTGCAGCCCAGTCGTTGGAGGATGGCCGAAGGGAGGAAAGCTTGCAGGTTCTTTCGCAAGACACTTCTGAAGCAGACGCATGCAGAAGTAGTGCCTCAGATGAGGGTGATGATCCTGTAGACATGGCCGCTCCGTTCTTTCCACCTTCGCCGGATGATGAAGATGTTCCGCTGAAGCCCTACGACTCAGATGCATGGTGGGTGAAGCTGCTCAAGACATGCACAGCAACCAGAAAGCCAGGTGGTGTGCCTTTATCCCGGCGGGTGACTTTGCTGAGTGCATGCAGTGGTGGCCTCACCGAGGCCTTTGCACTCCAGGCGGGTCGCCAAGTTAGGAATGGGAAAGCGCTGCAGGTGCCATAATAGCCGTAGCCGTAGCCATAACAGACAGTCACAACAGTCATAGCCGCCATAGCCATAGCCGTCATAGTCATAGCCATAACAGTCGACATAACCGACATAACCGTCATTATATCATTATCATTATCAGTATCAGCATCATTATCAGATCATTCTCATTATTAAATTATTAATTATTATTATTATCATTATCATTTCATTACCATTAATCATTACTCAGTAATCAGTAATCACTCATTGCTCATTTCATTGCTCATTACAGCTGCAACTACAAATACTTGCTGCTACAGTGCTACAGTGCTGCAGTGCTACAGTGCTGCTACAGCTACAGCAGTCATTATGTCATAGAGTCATAGAGTGTCATGGGTCATGTCATAGCTCCATAAAGCCATAGAGTCATAGAGTGCCCTAGTCTTAGACTTAGACTCTGAGGCTGAGTCTAAAAGAGCACCCTCAAAAAAAATCAAACCCGAAACCTCAACTAAACCTAAAAACACTCCAACTCCTGAAATCCCAAATTTCAAGAATCCCGAACCCTGAACCGTGCAGCAGTGTAGCCCGCGTGCCGTCAATCCAAGAAACACCTGTCAATTCCAGTGTACGCACAAACCCTTAGGGCATGAAGTGTTCCAATTCGTTATTATTTGAAGCATGGTGTCCCTGGGCTTGCCTCGGGCCTAGGGCCTAGGGCCTAGGGCCAAGGACCTAGGCACTTAGACTCAGATTAGGAGGATTAGGACATAGACAGGCCATCATAACTTTGAGGCTTTGCCAAGGCCCTAAGGCCCTAAGGTAGAGCCTACTACTCAGACTTCCAGATTCCAGAACCTTTTTTGCTTGCTTAATTCTCTAAATCATTGATTATGGCGGCTATCGGAGGATCGGCCAAGAGGCTATCAAACATCACGGCTATGTCGGCTATGACTCTCATGTTAACATATTACGTATGATGTGTGCCTATGCCTTGTGCCATATGCCTATGTCATGGCCTATGTCGAGTCTAGGAGTCTAGGAGTCTAGGACAGTCTAGGACTATGACTATGGCATTATGGGTCCGAGTTTGAATTTAGCTGCTAGAATGCTAGAATCTAGCGGCTAGCTCAGCTGTAGTCCGGGGCCGGAAAGTCTAACGTCCACAGTCGAGAGCATGTCCTCTGAAATCTACCATGACTTAATTTCTCCCAATGTGCTCAACAGCCGCATTCCTTCAGCGTTGACTCGCACTCTGCCGCAGGAACTTGGGATCGACTTCGACATCATTTCAGTGTCGGAGCCGTGTCGGGCCTATCGCGAGTTCTGCTTGGCAAATCACGAGAATATTGCACATGTTCATTTGAGTATGGCAGACCAGATCCATGGGGCAGCTTGTGAGAGGCATTGCCATGCAGAGAATTGCGTGATCCATTGTGAGCCAATGCTTGCAGTCTTGGGTACCCCGTGCCCTCCTTTCTCAGTTCAGAGGGCAAAGCGGTTCAAAGCTGGCACAGTGCAGCAGCATAAAGCATACAAGACAACCTTCGAATCGGCGCTGCTGTTCCTGGAGACGTTTAACCCTGTAACAGCGGTCCTGGAGCAAGTTACAGGGTTTGATCAGTTCGAGACAGCTGGAGATACCATGACGCCGTTGGGAAGGCACGCGCCCGCATTGCTTGCTGATGATGTTCCGTTACTTCGTTCCTATTATTACTATTTTACTGTACTTTTATAGTTTGTTGTTACTACATTAAATGCTGGTTACTAATTACTAATTACTACTACTTACTACTACTAGTTACTAGTTACTAGTTACTACTGCGTCACTACGTTGTAATTGCAACATCTGTCAGATCGGTTAGAGCGGTTAGAGTGGCTGGATGCAGGCGGATGTTTGCATGAACCTAACCCTGGGCCAACATTTCAAGTCTCATAATCATGGTATTGCTCGGACAAGTTGCATTGAAACCATTCCGCATGAGTGCTGTCTCCTGCTTGTACGGCTACCGGCTCATGGCTGGCTATGACTTTCCGGATGCTAGGGCCAAGAGCTGTCAGGCTTTGTTTTTCAGGTAATGACAGGTAGCCGGTGGTGACTACCAGGTTACCAGGTAGGCAGTGCAGACATAGACATCGATGACATTGATATTGAAATTGCTTTGCAGCTGTTGCGGTAGCACTTCAGTCAGTTCCGTGGCAGTTACATTACATTCAACATCAACGGCAGGTTGTCTAGGTAGCATTTCGCAGTTTGACAGAATGCACAATTGACTGGCTCATTCATTCTGCTGAGTGACTGATAACCTGATAGTCAGCACAGGTGCAATGCAACCCTTGTGCTATCGCTGCCGGCCAGGTTCCTGAACATGCTGTCGGAAGCCGACACCAAGCACGGCTACTATGTCTCCGTGCAGCGGTTGGACTTGGGCATTTGGATGACGATTACTCGACAAAGGCAGGGTCGAGAGTCATTTCTGGGTCGTGGTTGGAGCCCGGTTGGAGTCTCGAAGCACACATGTTTTTGAGAGTGGGAGTTCATCAAGGAATCAAGGGCAGAACATGGCGCATTGACATAGAGTTAGAGTCAGAGGAGTGTAGGACCTAGGACTAGGGTTCAGGAATTACAAAACCTCATCGGCCTCTGTTGTCAAGATGAATCATAGTGACATGGTGTATTTAGGGGTATTTCAAACATGATTGCACCCATGATTTCACCCGAAGGCCACCCCTACATTCCATACTGTTTCTGCATTCCAAATGGAATTTTGTGTATCGTTGTACAACAACAGTGTAACAGTCGAATCTTCATGGCTTAATCTCCACAGAAGTGTCACTTCTGTGTTGTTCAATCTTATTCTTATTCAACATCTGAGTTTCTATTTAGTGAAGTGATGTTTCAGCTGGCAGCTGCTGACTAGTGTGACTAGTGACATGACTAGTGACTAGTGACTAGTGACTAGTGGCTACTTGATTCGGACAGTGAGGAGCCATTCAAGAACTGGTCAAACGTCAAGAGTATGGTTGTTGCACAAAGAGAATTCATACACTGGCTTCCGAGTCTTTCAAGACATGCCTTGTTGTCTGGCGGCGCTGCGCCTGCCTGTTCTTGTGGCTCGTCGCACAGCTGGCTCATTCAAAGGACTGCATGTGGTCATGGGACAATCTCAAACTCAAAGGATCGCTAGCCGCTAGCCGCTAGCTAGTCAATGCTTGCCGCATGCTGCCATTGAGTACTGAGCTGCTACTGCTATGGCAGCTATGGCAGTGAGCAATCAGCAGCGCATAGCCGCTAGCAATCGCAGGCATTATTTCATAGCCATAGCCGCCATAGCCATTTGTTTGGTACAAATGACTGCTGTTGCTAGGCTTCCATCCAGGGTTGGCAGTCAGGGCATGACTGAAGAAGCTCCCAATAGCTTCCAAGTTTGCAATTTCTGAATACGACCTAGGACTTAGGACCTAGGACCTACAATTCAATATGCAGTACTTGTACCGCCTAGCTGCTAGCTGCCAGCTGCTAGTGCTGCTAGTGGCTAGCTGCTCCTATTGATGGACGACGAGTCATGGGCAGAATTCCTTTTGGGATCTTCTGCGGATGACTTGCAGTTGCAGCCTGAACCTGAAGCAGAGCCAAGCAGCAGTTCACAGCCCAAGAAGAGAGGCAGACCGGTCGGCCTTTTTGGCAGCCATGCATACAGACGCGATTTGAAGGCAGCTGAAGAAGCACGAGCAGCCGAGCTTGCAGTGGCACCAGTGGTGCCGAGCAGAGGGCCACAAGGTGCTGCTAGGGCAAGGGCTGCAAGGTCTGCCAAAGTTATTTCTCGGCAGCAGTCTCAGCAGCTGGATTCGCAGCAAGATTCGTTGGATGATGCATCTTTCTTGGGTGGTCCTGCTTTGCAGTCGCAGTCCCTGTTGTCCAACTATCGAAGTATCGGGTCCGATTTGCAGCAAAAGCTCCTGTTGGAGGTGACTCGAATGACTCGAAGCAAATCTGCAGAGGCCGGTCCACCGACATCAAGCACTGCCTATGTTGAGAAGCTCCTTCATAAGCTGCGGCCGCTGATGTCCTTCACAGCCCAGGCGGTTCATGGCGAGACCGACATAGACGATAACCGCCATATGGCAAAGACTAGCTTGTTGCGCACTGCGGCGGCGATCATGGATGGAGCCAAAATCATGTGTGGAAGTTTTTTCTGTGCCGTGCAGGATGCCCTGCAAAGTGGAGGGGAACTCTTGCTTCTGGTCAAAAAGCGCCGCTATGATGAGACACCTTTAAGGCTACGTGCCAGAGCAAAAGCGGAGGATGACGATGACGAGAAGGCCAAACCCATGAAGGTTGTTCAAAGCGAGATGTCCGTGGGTGTTTTGATGCAGCGACATGACAAATTCATGTTTGTCAAAACTGTGCTACCGAGCCAATTGCATGTTGCTGATGCGGTCACTGCCGAGACGCTCATGGAGTGTCAGCAGAGCCTGGAAGACATTCCAGAGTTGGCCCGGCTGGCACAAAAGGCACGGATGAAGCTGCAGCTGGTAGTAACAGACCGTGCTGCGTCGAATATCAAATGTGAATCTGGTATTCAGCTGAATGATGCAACGTGGACAAAACACCACGTGTTTTGCAAAGTTCACAAAGTTGCACAGCAACAGTCGGCAACATCGAAACTTTGTGATGGCCATATTTCAGGTTTGGTGAGCTTGGCTGTTGGCATGCAGATGGCAGGAAGCACCAATAAAATGCGCAAATGCTTGGCGGCAGTGCTTCGGAAGCGTCTGCGGCACATATATGTGGGCAGTCCTCCTCTGGACCCGGCCAGAGATCAGTTTCGCAACGAGGTTTATGACCTCTGCTTGGGTAAGTGCTGCACAAGGGCTGACAGAGCTGAGCATGATGCTCAGCAAGCCAACAGGCTCAGGCAGAAACAACGCCTTGTCTTGGAGCATTTTTTTCATGGAAGCGACTTTCGACAGCATCGCTTTGACCTCTACATTCCTCAGTATCGACCTGAACAAGAAATCCTTCAAGAGCTGGAGGAACGCCTTGTGCCCTGTTTGCTGCCGTATAGATGCCCAATTTTCCATCGCAGCCGATGGACGGGTGGAGACCTTGCATTAGATTGGATGCTTCTCCTCAGCTTGACTTTTGACTTGATGTCTGATGTGGTGCCAATGTGGGCCTCCGGTGATTGGCAATCCTGCCCAGCTCCGGTTGATGATGCAGGAGTCGCAAGAGCTGATGAGGACGACTGGGAAACACTTTGTCAGGACTTGGTTGCTTCTGGACAATTCATTGAAGGCGGGCAGCAGCAGCTACCTGGAGAGGCAGAAGTAGCTTCTGACAAACTCAGTTGGGCCGAATTCAATGCTGCTATGAAGAAGAAGGCAGCAGAGTTTGCCAGTCGAAAACCGGCTGGGGCACTGGTGCTTCTCAGATCGGTCATGGAATTGAACTTCAAGTTACTATATCATGCGCTGCATGTATCTTCGGATGAATGGCAGAACGAGCAAGCAGCAAAGGCTTCCAACGTTCCTTGCAGTCGCATCTTGGACGAGTATGCAGGCAAACATGCACATGAATTTGCAGATCAGCTTCAGGAAGCTTTCATGTCCGTGGCAAAGGCTATCCCGCCGGCTGCCTGTGCAAGGAACATGAGGACTCTCCACTTCAGGTTGCTTAGTCGAGCAGGTGCTGTGCATCACCAACTCATGGAGCGTTTCAGATGCGGTTTCCCCACTCAGATGTTTGGGGCCTTGCTTGGAAACACCAGCCTTTTGACTGCCAAGGCGTGCCTGCTGGATGAGCTTTCGACAAAAGTCCGTGAAATGTTTGGCACGGAAAGCTTGCTGTGCAGTGGCGAGGGTCGGGCAGTCTTGATGTCGATTGCTGAGCTTTGGGAGCTGGACATCGCGGCCATAGAGGCAAAGCATGCCTCGATACGCAGGGCATTGACTACTCGGGGTGTGCAGGCACCTCAGCCTTTTCTGTCAGTTGTCAGTGCCGACTTTGTTGTGCAACAAGCTGCAAGACAGAATCTACAGCGCTCGACATGGCAGGCTCAACAGTCTGCAAGGCTAGGGCGCTTTTCACGGCGTCAGCAGCAGCAGCAGCAGCCATTGCTGCATGACTCCCAGGATGCTGCTGATCATGCTGCAGATTCTGTTGCTTCTGGCACACACGAGAAAAAGCGCAAGAATGCTCCCCAACCCGGCGGTAAATGGAAAGCTTTTTGTGCTGTCAATGCAAAAGGCAGACAAATCACAAAGGCGGTTGCAGAAGAGTTGTCCGAGCGGTACCATAGTTTGCAGCCGGAAGAGGATGCTTTTTACAAGGAGTTGGGAGATGCCGCCAAATTTGCTGGGTTAGCTGGACACAAGCCGTTTCCAAAGCAGGCTGCAGCCCAGAATGTGCTTGTTCCAGCCCATGTGCCTGAGCACTTGAACTCAGCCTTGTGTGCTTTGGGTTCGGACTTGCGCAAGCAAAGTGCACTTCGAGTGGCCCAGAGCAGAGAAATTCAGGATTCGCTTGCTGAGATGGCTCCCTTTCAAAAGCTTTCTGAGCAGCACATGCAAGCTGTGCAAACAGTCTGTGACATCAACGAGACCGACCGGGAGCAGTTCAAGCGGGTTTCTTCCCAAGAGGATGCCATGGCTATGTTGCAGTGGATACCGCCAGTTGCACCGTTTGCAGAGGTGGGTACTTTAATTTATTTTTCGTGAGTCGAGCCCAGAGTCTGGGGTCTGGAGTCACTGAAGTCAGAGTGCAGTGAGTCTGGAGTCTATAGTCTATAGTCTATAGTCTATAGTCTATAGTCACTATAGTCTATAGTAACTATAGTAACTATAGTACTAGTAACTAGTAACTATAGTAACTATAGTAACTATAGTATACTATAGTATAGTCACTATAGTCCAGTTACTCTTGATTCTGCGATTCTACATTTCTACATTCTACATTCTAGATTCTAGATTCTAGATTCTACATTGTAGATTCTAGAGTTTAGATTCTATTCAAATCAGATTGTAGTTAAGTCAAGTTTCTAATCAAGTTTAGTTTGAGTCCACTCACTAGTCGCAGTCTTGTCTAGTCATTAGTCAGAGTCTGTTCACGCTAGACTCTAGACTTTAGGCTAGAGTAGAGTCTAAGCGTTTGGTCAAGTGGAGTCTAGTCTAGTCTAGTCTAGGTTGAGAGTCTAGTCGGTCTAGTCCAGTCCAGTCCAGTCTAGTCTAGTCTAGTCTAGTCAGTCTAGTCTGGTCAAATCGACGCGAAATAGTCTGAAGTCTAGAGTCTGAGTCTCCAGTCTAGAGTCCAGAGTGTTTAGACTCTAGAGTCTAGAGTCTAAACACTCGTCAAGTGGTCACCAGTCTGGATAGAGTCCAGAGTCCAAAGTCTAGCGCATCTATTAGCCAATAATCTACTAGCAAATCCTAGTCTAGTCAGTGTAGTCACCAGGGTATTCACTCATTCTGAGATAAGGCAGCAAGGCTTAATGTCGCCGCATTTGATTGTATTATTCTAATGTTTTAAATTCTTAAGATTCTATGTCGTTACCGGCTTATGTACACTTGGTCCTAGGTCCCAGGTCATCTGACTTATAGTAGGGCCTTGGGTCTTCTAAGCCGCAAGATCGCTTGAAACTGAATTAGGACGGGAACATTGACCGTCACAACATAGAGCTTGTAGATTTTGGCTTCTAGGTCTAGGTTGAAAGAGATTCTAAGGCATTCTAGCTGCTAGCAGCAAGGAGACTCGAGCGATTCTTGCAATTCTTGCAGGTAGCAGCAGAATTGCATTAGAAACATTACAATCCCAACAAAACCCAAAGCCCATCTCAATTCTCTTGCAGGTTGCACTTGCACATCCTGGTTTGCGGTCCCGCGGCACAGGTTCTGGGCTTAAAACTGCCCTGTCAGAAGCCTGGGAGAAACGCCACGACATGATCATCGATGAGAGGTTGCCGAGAATCAAAGATTCAGAATTGAAGGATTTGTTTCAGCCCAAAGAATGCCATCGACTTTCCATGTGCATCTGCTGTGGCAGAGGCCAGCAGGCGAAGTTTTGCCATGACAAGCTGGTGCAACTGATGAAGCCTTTGCTTGCAGTTAAGAAGCGGAAGCGTGGTCCGGACAACAAGTTCATCGAGAAAGAGCCCGAGAGAACCCGTGCTCGGATGTTGGCCGAATCCGGCGAGCTCGTTGTTTGCTTGTCGCAAGTGGCAGTGGACGATGAGGAGAACCTTGCACCCAGGCAGGACCATAGGCACCATCTTCCTTTCCCGTAGCCGGTCAGACCGGCAGATGCGATGACGTACCCTTGCCGATGGAGCCTTCTGACAAGATTTGGTTTCATTTCGGGTATGTCAACTTTCGATCCTGGGAAAGCAGCGGCTTGTGCTTGCATGACTGCCCTTCGGAGGATGAGTCTGAGCCTGAGCTGGATGAGCCGGAGGCGCTTGGCATGCACGGTCTCCAGCAGCGTCNNGACGCTGCTGGAGACCGTGCATGCCACAATGGACTTGAACAGCTGCTGGAGAGCCGAACTGTTTGAGGTCTTGTCGCTGCGGTCTTTTTTACCGCACACCAGAATGCAGCCTAACCGCATTCATGTGCGCAGAATGCGCGAACATGACGGCCCGCTTATATGCTGGAAGGGCGCAGCTGCTGAGGCAGCAGACCGCGACTCGACACGTGATCAGAAAGCTCGGCATGCAGCTCGTCAGTCAAAGCAAAGGCAGAGTCAGCAGCCACAGCCTCGACAGCGCCCACATCTACCACCATTGATGCTTCAACAGGCGTCCCAGTCAGCTGTGCAGCCTGAGCATGGCGACGGAGTGTCAGAAGAGCCGGCACCGGAATCGCCAGATTTTCCTGACGGCGTGCCAGAGCTTGGCCCGGAAGACTTTGGGGCTGGTGAGGCTGGTGCTGGTTTGGATCTGGACCCAGACATGGAGTTCCTTTTCCAGTCCGACTCGGAAACAGAAGCAACCCCTGCATGGCTGCAGCAAGCTTCTGAGATCATGGACTTGGAATTCTTGTCGGGCTATGCCGATGCGGTCCCTGCCGAGGAGACTGAGCTCCCTGAAGAAGACATTGCAGACCTTCCACAAGGTCGGGTGGCGGTTTCTTTGAAACTCAGAATATATTTTTAACTATTATATCATTATATGTACAATGTCAAATGTAAATGTAATTGTAATGTAATGTAATGTAATAATGTAATATATCAGATGTATAGATATTATATATATTTATATATTAAATACTTACTATCTATATATTATATATATATATATATTGTACTAGTTAGAGTCAGAGTTACTTAGTTAGTAGTCTTAGTAGTTAGTAGTGGTGAGTGACGCAGTGAATAATTGTTCTGTTAATTAATATTTATATTTAATAGTACTTAGTAGCTGCTAACTGTAACTAGTAAGTAGTACTTTAGTATCTAATAGTAAGATGTAATCATTGTACTCACTGCGTCATGGAGTAACAAGTAACATAGCGAAGCATTAGTATAGTGACATTGATTTTACTGGCATTCAGATATAGTAACATAGAAAATATAGTCTTAGGTCTATATAAGCTCTGAGCTCATTTAATCATATTGCCATATAATCACATACTCATACTTTAATCTCATACTAATATAGTAATATTGTAATATAATAATATAAAAATATTTCAATATTGTCATTTACTAATTGAATAATATAATAATAGTAGAATAATAACATACTGATTTAGTAATTAGGTAAATATATTTTGTCATATGTCATATATTCATATACGGATATATCAATATAGGAATATAGTAATATAGTAATATCGCAATATAGTAATATAATGTAGTTATGTAGTAATACAATAATATAATACTAATAATTTAGTACTATGAAATAGTAATATAGTCATATAGTAACAATATAGTAATATAGTAATATAGTAATATAGTAATATAGTAATATAGTAATATAGTAATATAGTAATATAGTACCATAGTTACTATAGCTACTATAGTTACTATAATTAATAAAGTTAATATAGTTACCGTAGTTAATATAGTTTATATAGATAATATAGGTAATATATTAATATAGTATTATGTAGATCAATAGAATATTATAGGTTCTTCCATATAATATACATAACCGTCTGTCCATAATATAGACTCTTAGTTCTTAGTGTGAAGATCTGATAATACTGTGAAATTGCTCCTTGTCACGTAGTGACCTAGTTATAGTTACACCACCAGAGTCTTGGACCTGCAGCAACCTTGCATTTTGCTTTATCACTTATTTATGTTAATTGCTGAGTTCTGTTGATTCTGTTACAGTTACAGGCGATCCAGTGGTGGCGCCTGCGCCTGCTTCAGCATCAGCAGCAGTATCCAGCTCGGACCGAATGCAGTCCGACCCTACAGGTGCAGACGGCCCAGCTGCTGCCGCTGTAGCAGGACCAGCAGCCAACAGGCCCCCTGCAGGCTCAAGGCATGTTGCTGATGTGGTGGTCGATGTGCCTGGGGTGGGAGATATTCGTTTTTACACCAAGAATCAAGTCTTGGTGGCTTCCTGTCGGCGGCCAGAACACCAGAACTTTTATTCTGACACTGGTAGTGTTTTGACGTGCAGCAGGAAACGGACCGTTAGAGCAGCGGCCAAGCTTGCAAAAGACGTGCGGAAACGGTCCGGACAGGGCAGACCCTTGGGGCATCTTATGCGCTGGCTGGAATGTGGATGCGAGGCCGCGGATCAGCAACAGCATGTGCTGCATGCCAGAAGCTTTGATCGAGATGAAAGAAGGGCAGCACGGGCAAGACTTGCTTCCTTGCCAGGGGCTGAGGATCTGTTTGCCAAAGAACGATCTCGGTTGGACTGGGAGTCCGACGACGAGCCCCGAAATATTTGAGCTTCACAGTCTGCCGCTGGTTTCACTGATTTCTGGTTGCCGAGTGCCGCGATTGCCACGCGTGTCCTTTGCGCAGCTGATACAAAGGCCACGAGGCAGCGAGACTCCTGACTTGTGACAGCAGGTCATCACTAGGTCACTAGGTCCTAGGTCACTAGGTCACTAGTCACTAGCTTCACTAGCTAGCTGTCACTAGCTAGGGCTAGGGGCTCTAGGGCACTAGGTCAGTAGGTCACTGAGGTAGTGTCACTAGGTCACTAGGGGGTCACTGACTCTAGGACTCTAGGGCAGGGGTCACTAGGTCACATAGGTGATGCTCACTTGTCACTGGTCACTATAGCCACTCTGTCCCCAGGTCCTTAGGACAGGACTTAGGACCTAGGAGCTAGGTGTGGTCCCTTGCCCAGCAATTCCCCAAAAACGGCACCTCATGCCTAGGCCTAGTGGCCTAGTTCCTGGTCCCAGGCTCCTTGAAACTTGAAACCGTATGGCCTTGAGGTTCTAAGACTGTAAGCCTCTAAGCTCTAAGCTCTCAGCTATATTAAGCCATTAAGCATTAATCTTGCTGTCTTAGACTTAAACTTAAATTCTAAACTCTAAACCCTTAGGCCTTAGGCCTTAGGCCCTAGGCCCTAGGCCCTAAACCCGTAACGGGTCCCTTGATTGTAAGCCTAGTAAAACCTACTAAACCACAAAGCACTCAGACCCTAAGACCTGTGGCCTCTGCCCTTAGCCTGAAGCCTGAAGCCTTAAGCCTTAAGCCCTAAGGCCCTAAGCCCTAAACCCTAAGACCCCCTAAGCCCTAAGGCCCGAAGCCCTGACACCTCAGACTTATTGCAGCAGCGTTACCCTCATTACCCGCATTACCCTGGCGTAGCCCTGGCCCCAGTGCTCAGCATGAACCTCTCAGTCAGTTCTTCAGTCTTCAGTCTTCGGGCTTTCAGTTTTTCAGTCTTTCAGAGGGTTTTGCAGCATCAGGCTTAGTCCTCCCGTCGTCCTTTAGTAAGTCAGTCGCTTTAGTCAATTTTAGTCAAACTTTAGTCTACAATGTCTACAGAGTCTAGAGACAGTCGAGCAACTAGTCTACAGTCTACAGTCAGTGGTCATCTGCACTAGTCATCTTTGGTCTCAGGTCTGGAGTTGTCAGTTTGCCGCCCAGAATTACTTTTGGGTCTGTGTCCCCAGTTGAAAAAACTAACATGAACGTAGTACCCTCTACATTCTAAACTCTAGCCGCTAGCCGACTCTAGCCCCAGTTCAGATGTCATAGCAGCCCTAGCAATGAAGCCAGATGCCTCAATGCTGCTAAACAAAGCCTTGAAACCCGAGAACCCTCTGTGGACCTAAAATTCAATCCTGGACGGTGCTCTGTGAAACACAAACTCGAGCCCCTTCGTCTCAAGCCTTAACCCTTATGCCCGAACCGAAAGTGTGACCCGATTCTATGGTCTAAGGCCCAAGCTCTCAGCCGTCTGTGCCACTGTCCCAAGTCCCAGCCCTGAGCCCTAGCCTACGCCCTTTGGGCCTTTACGCTTTCGAGCCCCGGTTTCTCGGCTCCTAATGCCATGTGCCCTGTATCGTCAATAAACTTCAAGTGCCCTGTACAAGGCCCTAAACCCGAAACTATAACTATAGCTATGTAGCGCCACATCTCTACCAGTCTACCAGTCTTGCTGTGACAGGCTCTACCTTGTGTTCTTCCGAAAAGACAAGTACACTGAAGCTGATGTGGAGCTGTTCAACATGCTGATGCAGGAGATGCTCTGGCAGCTGGCAGCTGTAGACACTGTGGGTTCAACATTTTAAATAGGTTCGGGACTTCAAGAGGTGATTTGCCGGTCCTTCTTGCTGACAATAACAGGAGCAGCTAAAGAAGAATTCAATTTCAAGAGGACATGTACAATGATGCATTCTCGGTTACTGTTTCCATTGTCAACAAAAGGTTTGGGGAATCACGATCATCGTCACTACAGTACTATAGTCCTTCCAATCGATATAGTCATTCAGGACTCGAGACCCAGGACCTAGGACCACAGGATGCGGACTCTAGATTCTAGATTCAGGGGTCCTGGTGTCTTTTCGGCATCCTTGGGCTTCTGTGAGCGACTTGAAATAATTAGCTCTGGGTAAAGCATGCTTTGTAAAGGAAGAAACCCACCGAAATAGAAAGGGCTCTCTGATCGGTCAGCCAGTGGTAGTTGTTCTCATTAGACATTAGTGGCTAGCGTTACCACTCCTGGTGAGAAGCAATCTGGTTTGTGGTCTGGGCCAGGAGATCAACCAGAAGCAGAAAGCCGCCGGACCAGAAGATGTCGAACAGTTTCTACATGATGAGGAGCTTTCTGCCATTGCTGCCAGAATCAGGGGAGCTGTTTTCTGCTAGCCTTGGCCAGCTCTGTTGCGAGATACCTGCCGCAAGAATGCAGCTCTCAGTCTTGTGTAGATAAGATCATGCCATTACACCAATATCCAACCCGACATGGTAACCTGTCATGTTCTTGCATTTAGTCTGCAGAAATATGTATGCAGGGAACCACATGCCCATTGTTGCAAATCGTGTTGCAAGCTGAAAAGCTTTCATCGGGCTTCAAAGTGCTGCCGGCAGATTCCTGGTACCCTGGCAGCCTCAGAATTTCAAGTAGCAGCTGCAGCTAGCAGACAGCTGCTAGCAGCTAGCAGCAAGCAGGCAGCAAGGAGTCAGCATGCAATTGGAGGCCTTGAAATTTCAGTCAGTATTCTTCGACATTTGTGCGCCGAAACTGGGGAGATCTCTAGGGTCTGGCTTCAGATACTAGATTACTAGATATAGATTTCGTAGATTATCGTCGTAGATTATCGCCGTTTGGCCCCAAAGGCTGGCAGCTAGGACTGCTACTGCTAGGGCTGCTAGGGCTGCTAGGGCTGCTAGGTGCTAGGTCCTAGGTCCGGGTCCTAGGGCTTGGGCCAGGCTAGCCTGCGGCTGGGGCTAGGGCGGCTAGGGCCGCTAGGGCTAGTTGTAGGTAGCAGGTAGCTAGCAGCTAGCTAGCAGCTAGCTACGGCCGGCTACGGCCAGAGAGTAGTAGAGTAGAGTGATTGGAGTGACTAGTGACTAGGTGACTAGATTCTACATTCTAGATTCTAGATTAGACGGATTGTGATTAATTTCATTTGATTTGACTAGACTAGACTAGACGAGATTAGGGCTAGGGTTGACCGTTGTGGAATTTCAGGTTGGACATGGGCCTCGCTCCGGTCGGTCCTCTTGCAGTCTTGCAGTATTCTTATAAACATCTTCAGACATTGGTTGCGGCGCAAGACTAACTTTCCTCATTTTTGTGTGATGAATTGTTATTACGACAATAATAAATAATGACTCGTGGCATTGGCGTAACAGAACAGCATAACACCACAGAACACAAAGCTGTCCGACCAGTAACTAGTAACTAGTAACTAGTAACTAGCAACTAGCAACTAGTAAGTAACTAGACTCTAGACTCACTAGATGGAGCCTTGATCTCCATGCCTTCCTATGGTCCTATGCCTATGCCTATGCTGTTTGTCGAGTATTCTAGAGTCTAAAGTCTAGTCCAGGTTACAGTAATAGGAATTAATATGATCCAATGTCCAGTGGCCTATAAAACTATAAGAATAGCAACATGATAATTTTGTGTACAGTCTTCAGTCGACAGTCTAGAGCTTATAGTAGCTATAGTAATCGTATACCCCAGAGTCTATAGTAATTGTAATATAGTCTAGAGTCTAGAGTCTAGAGTCAACAGAGCTCTGGGTTATATAGACTAATATGTAGTATAAGGTAATAGTTTAATAGGGTTAATACAGAGTTTCATAGAGTCATAGAGTCACATGGGCGGTGGTCGATTTTATCTGTTTATCTACCGTCTTTGAATGCATACTGCATGCTTTCCCTCTGAGGCACAATGTCATTCCCTTCAAGCTCCGGGCAAGTTGGTGCAGCTGAAAATGCATTTCCGATCTGCGAAACACGAGGTTGCCATGGACGGGTTCGGAACTATGGGCGCGGGTATGTGAATTGCTGCTCGATGTGCACACCTGGGCTAAACTTGCACAGCCGACGATGCCGACGTTTTCAGCGTGCACTTCGCGACAGTGTTGCTGGAGCTGCTAGACTCCAGAATCAGAACAATGTTGAGACTGGCACTTGCGTCATTCAGGGCTGTCTTCGATCGAGACATCTTGGCTTCCAGACATGCTGTTCCTACTGTGTAAAGAGTCGTGGCCACCGCCACAGCCACCGCTGCAATAGATGCCAGACTTTTGCAAGCGCACCAGCAGTGGCAGCAGCTGCTTCGACAGGAAATGCGGAGTTTATGAACATGCATGAAGCTGTGGATGCAACGACTGGAAACAGTTTTGCAAACATCTCGGCATCTTCCGCTTCGACAACTCATGGTGCCGTTTTGACAGCGTGGAACACTGGCACCGCATCCGCCGATGCAGTCTTCCCTGCAGATCCAGCAGATAGCTCGGTAGAAGGAGCTCCAGCAGATGCTGATGTGATCGAGGTCATTGCCGATGCGGTACAGAATATTTCCCTGGACGACTTGGATTGAAGCCCCGGTGGTTTGGGTAGCTGGTAGCTGGTAGCTGCATTACAGCTACAGCTAAAGCTACAGCTACAGCTACAGCTACAGCTAAGCCAAAGCGACCTAAGTCAGCTAAGTCTGAGCTTTTGTAGTAATAGTTTAATAGCAGCTACCTAGCTAGCAGCTAGCTGGCTAGCAACTAGCATAACTAGCACCTGGCAGCTGCATTTCTGCATGGCATAGCTGTGGCATAGCTGTAAATCAAACTGACTAGGCCTAGGCAGTATACTCAGGAGACTCGATTTACCGGCCGCTAGACTCTGACCCGTAATCCTATAAGATTCTATACTCTATTCTATACTCTATGTCTCTGTGTTCTCTTCGACAGAGTGGGTCGAGGTTCTTCGACTTTATACTCTAGGGTCGAGACTCTATATATACTACTACACTGTATAC